GGATACTCCCTTTGAGATTTATCGTAAGCACCAGTCAGACGGCCGGACATCGCTAGATCGACTCCAAATGGCCTGAAATGGATTTGTTCCAAAGAGATCTTTATTTCGATGAGGCACGTGTTGACCGTATCAAATGATATATACCCTATCTGGCCATATGGCTGAGGGTATAAAAATTGTAATAGCGAAGTGCAAGCAAAATAAGGCGTAATTTAATTTCCTTACAAACAAGACAAATTTAAGTTTTCTTTTGGATTTGAATACAATTTTTGCAAATATTGTTTTGAATGGCAACACCCTATATTTTCAGACTGGCAACTAATATGTGATTTCATGAGTATCAAAGACACGAACAATTTCCCCCTATTTATATCTGACATAGTTAATGTCGTAAGTAGAGACATTCATCACCACGGTCATATCGTAAATAATGGGTGTTTAATCGAAGGTAGATATGTAGTATAAACTATCCAGCAGTAGATGGCGCGCCTAATATAATGATATTTTTTCGTTTATGTTCAAAATTTAAACTTTTTTTTAAAAGCTAGCTTTCATTTAAATGTCTAGTTGGCATAATTACAGTATATATGTTATTTTTAAAAAGGTTTTATATATTTAAGGTTATTTAAAATTAGCAGCAGCGGATAGCGAGCGTTTATTATTAACTATACGATTACTTATTATTAGAAAAAGCCACACTTAAATAAAACAACAAACACTTGGTTTAGTTTTGAATTTCAAATAACTTTCATTTTATTTAGTTTTATTATATTTCAAATAAATAATAGGTTGTAAAATAACAAATGCATAGCCGTTTATCAATGGATTGGGCTGTGTATAACAAGGGTGGATGGTAGGTGGGTAAATCGAAATCAAAAATGTCTTGTGTAAAAAAATAATAAAAAAAAAACCTTTGAAATATTCCATAGCTTAGTTATAATTGTAACTTGGCAGCTCTAAAGGGAGATTATTGAAGGATATTGTAATTGTTAGCAGAGAATTAAAGAAAATGTGTAAATAGTTCGCCGCGATTTTTCGTCATAAGAAATTCCGCTTGTTGCATTTTTTATGAGGCAATTTTTTTGATATTTTACGTTGCAATGTTGCACTGTCTCAATATAAGACAATGGACATATAGTTGTGTAGACTTGGTTTTGTTCGAAAAAAGATAAGCTTCAATGCGGTATCAACCTTGTGATACCGTGAGTTATCTTATTCGACTTATTAAATTTATTATTATTTTATAAGGTTCCATTATTTTCGGATTATATGAATTTTCAAATACTATCGACTTAAAGAATGGGAACTACAAGAAATTAATTTCGTCAAATAATCAAAATGGGTTAAAAATGCATTTATGGGTGTATAGCTGAAAAAAGTCTGACTACACCGTTACATGCAGGTTATAATGAAACGTGGATCAATACCTACGAAATTTGATGGAAAGGAATTGTCTGTCTTGAAAAATTAGTAGGAACTTTCATTTTCACCATGGGGAGCAGATATGACACTGATCACAAAATGTTTTAAAACTCGTCGTTTTAATTCATTTTAACTTACAAATTTACACCTTAAATATACAGGTAAAATGGTGTAGGGTATCCTATTGTTTACTCCTCTGGCTATTATATCTCCCACCGTTTCCGCGGAGTTGTTTCAAATTTTGAAATTAGAGTTCGTATAGGGTTCTACCTCAAGTGACAGAATATTCTTAAAATACGTCCACATTTTCCTATAATTCCCAGATTTGTATGTGGAGAGTACTAAAATATCGGTTCAGCCCAACTTATATCACCTTTAGAGGTGATATATGATTTAATATGTATACCCCCAGCCTTGACTTATGTTTGTTCAAACGCTTGACTCTTTATGTAGGCAGAGAAAAATATTTAGATATAGTATGTTGTAAAGAATCGCTGGCTTGTTTCGCAAGTTATGACAGATAAAACAATTGTAAATTGTGACCCTTTGTGGGTGAGGTACCAGAGGAAGTTCGCAGATACATATTATCTTCACCAAAGATCTTTCGTTAGCAAAAATATTTGGATGTGTTGAATTTGCTTATTTCGCTTTCTTTGAGCGGTATGTTTTTAAAATCTTGAATCCTATGTGGGGGCGGTACCAGAAGAAATAGTCCGATCTCTACCATCATTATAACAAATCTTGTGTTGATGGAAATATTGAGATGTACCAAATCTGAATGGAATCCGACGTTATTTTCGCGTTTTGTTAGCTTCATGGATACTCAACATTTTTAACCTTCGTAGGGAAATTACCAGAAGGAGTGGACCGATATATCCCATCTTCACACCAGACCATGAATTAATAAAAAAATTGTGGTGTGATTAATTTGAAGAGGACCGGATGCTTATATCGGATTTTATGATCGTTTTAGTTATTCAAAATTTTAACCCTTTGTTGGGGAGGTACCAGAAGGAATGGTCCGATCTCTATCATCTTTAACAAATAATATAATAATACAAATCTTGTGTTGATGGAAATATTGAGATGAGCCAAGTTTGAATGGAATCGGATGTTAATTTCGTGTTTTATGAACTTCGTGAATATTCCAATTTTTGACCCTTTGTGGGGGAGGTACCAGAAGCAGTGGACCGATGTATTCCATCTTAGCACTAGACATTGAAATTTGAAGACAATCGGACTCTTACACCACATTTTAAAAGAGTTGTAATTAAAAAAAAATGTTGACCCTTTGTGGGGGAGGTACTTGATGGAGTGGACTGATATTGTACATTTTCGCACCTGACCTAGCACTGATGCAAATATTAGGATATCAAACCAGCCAGCCAGACACTGCTAGATCGACTCCAAATGTCCTGAAACGGATTTGGTCCAAAGAGACCTAGGGTCTATATACCAACCGTAGCCGGTTCCATTTTTGCATAGGGTCAAGGCTATATTAAGGCTTTAAAAAGTTTGGCCTGAGAACCCCAAATTTTGGGGTACTTTCACATCCACTTGAATCACAGAGTGAAATTATAAGAAAATTTGTGGCAAGTTCGAAAAAAGTGCTTGTCTAAAATAAATACAAATTTCTTTTATTCAAAGACTTGAAATTAAATTTAATCTAGTATATTTCTTCCACTGGCAATTTTCGCAAGAAATGAAATGCTAAGATAGATTTTGATTAGCAGTCAAAAACGAAAATTCATAACTAGCTCTCATAATATAAAAGTTTTGAATAAACTATTTAATGTAGGAATGGGGTTTAATCAGGCATTTATTTTGAAATTTTGTGTAGAACTATTCTGTCCAAAATGTTGGTATAGACCACGCTAAAAAAACGAATAAAGATATGAAGCTAAAATTTTGCACATTACGCAATCAGTCCCAAAGTTACAACCAAATCATTTGAAACATGATGTTTCATTTTCTGTTTGACTAGAAAAACCACTCTAGATGAGACCCCCATATACGAAGGACATGTCGCGATGCCCTTGTTTTTTGGTCCGAAAAAAACGTCTAACTATATTTGTATGGAGGGTATATTAAATTTGTCATTCGGTTGTAACACCTCGAAATATACATTTTAGACCCCACAAAGTATATACATTCTTGATCAGCATAAAATTCTATGTCGATTTAGCAATGTCCGCCCGTCTGTGGAAATCATTCTAGCTTCCGAACGAGATGAAGTAGGTTGATAAAATTTTACTCATTATGTCAAATGTGTATGCAGGACTTTTGGTATTGAAATGGGCCATGTAGGTCCACGTCTTCGTATAGCCCCCATATAACGGTACCAAACGATATTCGGTATTTTGACGATTTTAGCGACTTTATTTACCAGAATTGTTTCAAATTTGGTATTTGAATTTCGTAATGGATACTACATCCTAAGGCAGAAAATGAGCCAGGTAGGTCAACGTCTTCGTATAGCCCCCATATAAAGGTACCTCCGATATTCGGTATTTTGATGATTTTAGCGACATTATTTACCGGAATTGTTTCAAATTTGGTATTTGAAGTTCGTAATGAATACTACAGCCTATAACGCAAAATTGTCTGTATTGTAATAGCCTATGACAAAAGTTGCCTATATAGGTCTACGTCGTCGTATAGACCCTAATATACGACTACATTCGGTATTTTCGAGTTTTAAAAATTCTGTTAAAATCTTAAAATTTAAAAAAAAAAAATTATTTTTTTGAAAATTGCCAAATTTATACCAAATGGTGGAGGAGTTCGGCCCGGCCGAACTTACAGCTTTTTCACTTGTTTTTTAGTAAAAAAGATTTTGTCTAGCATCTAAAGTTACAACAGAATTTAAAAGCAATACTAGCTTTGAGAATGTTGCCTCGTCATCACATCTCGTCCTTGGATCCACTGTGAAGAATATTGATATAAGCCATCAAATAACAATTATAAAATATTGAGCTATGAAATCTTTAATTGCTTGTAATATAAAACAGATTTCCTTCATCGAAAAAATTGAAAAAATAAAAATTCAAATATAAAAGTTTGCAAAAAGTTGTTTTTAAATCGTTTTTATTGATTTTTTTTTCTCAAAATATTTTTTTGTCCTTGTTGCTCTTGTAAATAAACTTACAACTTAAAACAATAATAATGAAATGGGTTGTATTTTTTTTAAATTAACTTATAAGTAATGACAAAAAATTAAAAGAGATTATGGTTAATTTTCATTTTAAAATATATATTTTTGTAATTCTTTTAATGAAAATCAAATGCTTTTTCCAAAAGTAAATACAAATATTGTAGAATTAAATTTTGGCAAATATTAAAAAATAAAATTTATAAATAAAATAAAACAGAAAAAACAATATGACTAAAACATTGAATAGGCATAAGGTGACATTTGTTTAATAAATGTCACCCAGTTTGGGGGGTTAAATGCTTCACTTAAACTACAAATTTTGCTGAAAATATATGAGAAAAAGTAGAAATATGTATTGAAAGTAATAAAAATACGAAAAAAGATATTACAATGTTAAATTATAAAAGAAAAATATTAATTTTATTGTTGGTTATATTTAAAGATTATTACTAAAACAAAATCATTGGCACAAGTTGCAGTCTAAACTTAAATAAAAAAATAAAAATATTAAGAAAAATAATGACAAACAAATGCAACAAAAAAATATGCATAAACTATATACAAAAAATATATTTAATATTAAAAAATGTAGGTTTTGTTTTATTTTTAAATATCAAACAAATTAGTAAATGAAATATTATTTAGTGGCTCACAGAAATCTTGGTCAAAAAAATGGAATTAAATACAGAAAAATATTTATTTGGAATACTATGAAAGTTTTGAGTAAAATTTACCAAGATTTTTGTGGCACACTGTAAAAATATATATTTTTATTGTTTTAATATCATTGCACTCATTAATAAAAATTATAAAATATTTTTTTAGACTAAAATTGTATAACAAAAATATCGTTGTTTTTTTTTTAATTTTCAAGGCAAAATTCAAACTTTTCCTCTCTTTATCTCTCTCTTTCACTTTGTGAGAACTTTAAGTGAAATAAGTGCACTTGGTCTATTCTACGCCAAAATAATAAAAAAAACATTTCCAACTATAACAGTTTCGTTTTCTCAAAAATCTACATGGCATTGCCAGATTAAAACAGGGCAATGGCAATAACAATAATAATGCCGATTATAATCAAAAACAGTGTAAAGAGATCATCCGTGTTTATGAGACCCAATGTACAAGCAACAACAATGTGCTCCAACAGTGTCAGGCCGTTCACCGCATTGGCACGTTGTTCGCCCAAAATATTCATTTGAGTCTGTTTTTGCAATTGGGTGCTGGTCGAGGGTAGAACTCCATCAGCATCACCATGGCGAGATTGAAGTCTTTGTTCAAAGCTTTGCATATGTTCAGGCGTTGAGGGTAGAACATCATCATCTCCTCCCTGGTGTGGTTGCAGTCTTTGCTCACACAATTGGATATTTTCTGGTGTCGGGGATAGAGAATTGCCATCACCATGCTTGGGTTGTAATATTTGTTCAAAGCTTTGCATATGTTCTGGCGTCACTTTTTCCCCATTTTCCTCTACATTTTCATTTTCCTCAAAATGGAGGCCTTGCTGAGCTTTTTCATAACAATTATGGGCCAAATCTTGTAGGCTTGGAACTTCATGGACAATCAGCTCATAATTTAACTGTGTATCTTCAATTAAAGCTTTTTCGAGATCACAACAATTCTTTACAATCTCCTCAAAGCATTCTCGTGATTCCAAACTCTCTGTGTCATTTTTAATACTTATTTCATAATTGATTTTCTCTTCCATGATGTTCATTTCCAGTTGTGGAGTTTCCATGATAATGCTGCGTTTTCTCCTGGGGGTCTTGGATGGGCTTGTCTCCACAAGGCTTTCCTTGACTGTGTCAGACATGGTGGACACTTCTCCTTTGTCATTGGCTACGGAATCAGTCTCACAAAGTGTTTCATTTAAAGCTTCCTGCTCTTCTAAATCAACATTTTCTTCTATTTCTAATAATTCCTGTTCGAACATCTTATTGGCTTCCTCAAAGTTTTTCCTGGCCTGCAATGCCTTGACTTCGGCCATTATTTCGGCACTGGCCAATTGCATGCGCTCCTCAAATAGCTGCATTGATGCCCTGTGACCAAAAAGCGTATCCTCTCTGACACATTCAAATTCTTCCATCTCTGAATTAGAGCTTTCATATTCTAACTGGGACTCTCGTAAGCTTTCTAGCAATTCCTCTTCGGTTGGAAGCCGGGGAAACTCCGGCTCTTCATCTTCCGAGACGGAGAGCTCCCTATCCCTAACTACTTCTCTCTCAATTATACCCTCTCGATTATCTTCCTCTCCTTCAGTTTCTTCTTCCTCCTCCTCCTCCTCGTCTTCACCCTCCGTTTTTATGGCAATTTCTGTCTTAAAACAATTTCTAATCTCAAACCTAGAATTGAACGAAGAACTCAATTGCAAACTATTTGAACTAACCGTATGGCCACTCAAGGGAAAATCTGCCAAACTAACATTTCCTGAATCCGGATTGGAAGAGGTCTCCTCCAAGGAACTCAATGAATCACACTGAGTCATTTTGGCATCCTCGGTATTTCTGTCTACCAAAATATTTACACGGCTAGCATAGATTCTATTGAAGTTGGGCGAAAGTTTAAAGTGCCCGACATTCTGTTCGGGAATGGTTTCTAATCTAGACATGGATGATGCACTGGATGCAGCAGATGCTGATGGACTACTGGCATTGGTATTAGTGGTTGATGTTGGTGAGTTTGATGATCGGTTATTTAGGGTTAACAAACAACATTCATTCGGATTAGTTGGATTGGTGGAAGAAGAAGTAGAAGAGCAGCGGCATTCATTAGCGGTACATACAACATGGTCAAGGGGGGATGCAGCAGCAGCATCAGCAGCTGTTAGTGGTTCTGGCACACATGGGGTCTCCTTAGGGGAGTTACCTGAGTGTTTTTGTAGTTTCGAAGTGCGTGGCATACGATTGGCGCCCGATTTGTCTTCAATGCCAAATATCATGGCCAGCTCCTCCGAAGAGTTGTACTGCGAGGGCGATGACGAACGGGCCCGCTGCGACGATGAACAGGCCAGTGTGGCACTGCAGTTACTGACCGGTGTCAGATTGAGCGGTGGCGGTGAGGGTGAACAGCTGAAATTGCTGGCCATACTGTTGGTGGTGGTTATATTTGGCGTGGCACTCGTTGTCGATTGTACATCGTAGGATGTCGTGCTACAGGACTTAATGCGATCGGTGCTGGGTGCATGGTATTCACTACTGGGTGATTTGATATAATCACTGGACGAATAAGGATTGAATGAGGTAATGCTGGACGAAAAACGGCGACTGGCCGTTGGACTAGATGATTTGGCCAGACAATCACTGGAAGATGAAATGGAGGAGGCAGTGGCACTGTAACCTGCTGGTGGTGGCGGCACCTTTGTCAAAGGGCCATGGGAACTGCTGGCAGCCCTGGTGGTGGCCGAGGCCGTTGTGGTGCTGGTGGTTTTGGCCATCTCTTGCTTGCGTGCCTGATCTTCGCATTCTCTCATTATCTGATCAATGTCTTCGATCATCGGCTCTTGTGGCTTGCTGGCCACAAAAGCTTTTGGCGTTTCTGTAAGAGTAGAAGTTGACAAATCATTGGGACTTTGAACTTTATTAGAATTGCTAGCTTCCAAATTACAGGTTGAGGCCACCGATATTTCGGGCTGATTGAGATTGTCATAGTCGTGATTGTCAGCCAGATCGCTTAGCTGGCGCATACAACGTCGGGCAATTGCCTCAATCTTATCCGATTGTATGGGATCCAGTTTTTTTATTAGTGTTGGTATTACCAACGACGAGGTAGTATCCTTTTTGCTTGGATTGACGGCTGGTGATGGTGGTTGTTGCTGCTGGGTTTGCTTTACTTGAACAGCTTCTTGTACTACAACAGGTGGTTCGGTGGTCACAATGTCTTTGAGTATCTTCTCACACACCTTATTGGCGGCCTCCGATACCTGATCGATGGCCTGTATGAGTTTATCTTCTTTGTGCAGTTTTCTTGGAGCCTTTTCGTTGGGCGCCACTTCAACACTATCAGGCAAAGTTTCCAACAATAGTTTGCCACATTTCTTGGCCGCCTGGGAGACCTTTTCGATTTCCTGTAAATCTTGCTCGAATTTGTCGTCGTGGGAATCTTGGCGCTTCGGCTTCGACTGGGTAATCAAGGCCTCCTTGCGCAACTCCTGTAGCTCTTGGCTCAACTTGATGCTACTCTCTTGGGCATCTTGGGCAATTTTATTGAGTGCCTCTTCCATTTTATTTGTTTCGCCCTGTTGCGGTTCTGGGGTCAGGGATTTCCTTGGCATTGGTGTGGGTTTCTGGTGCTGGACCACAAGGGTTTTATTTTCCTCTGCCCCAGTGCTCAGTTTCTGTGGCAATTGACATATGGCCCCACCCTGACTAGGGTGGCGGAAGGGTATGTGAGACTTCTTCGAACATACTGCCACCGTATTTTGTTCATTTTCCTGTTCCTTAAGGCTTTGCAATAGTTTCAAAGTGGACGGTATATCATCTGCCTCTTGGCCCTTTTTGTGTAAATCAGACATGCTGCCTGAGCGATCTATGCTCTTTGTTAACTCCATGTACGAATATAAATCTCCACCCGAAGGCTTGGCGGCATCGCGTTGAATGAGAGCATAAATATTGGCCGATTGGGTGCGAGTGGCACGATTTTTCTTTGGCAGCACACTTGAGGGATATTGGAAACGCTCCTTCGGCTGCAAGGGATCTTTGCGCAAGGCCCTTACAGCCAAATCGTCCTTGATTACATCTGGGGCCTTGGTGTCCTTCTTTAGAAATTCTACCTGGTTGTTGGGCTTGACATGCAAATAATCGGTTTGAGAAGCTGGCACAATGGGTCCTATGGGTATACCAAAGGGTGGCTGTTTCTCCACGGTCTTGTGTTGCAAATTGGCCAGTTTAATATTGCGATAGGCCACATCGTCCCGTATGGGATCCGGTTCTCCGGTGGGAGAATCATCGTCATCGTCGTACTCATCGGCATGGGCCAGGGCATATTTCTCAAAGTCATTTGGTGTAGGAACACGGTCTTTTTTCGTTATTGGTCCTGGCACCGTTTCCGTGGCCTCTGGCTCAGTTAGCCCCAGGGAGCGATAAATAGCTTCCAATTCATTTATGGCCTCTTCCAAGTTGGCCGGTTTCTTGCGTGGGAAACTAAGTTGCGGTATATTGGGTACGCCCACCAATTTTCTCTGTGGTGGCTGTGGGGCGTTCTGATGCTGTTCCCTGCGTTCATTGACATATTCCTCATACTTGTTGGGTGCAACACTCAATTCACCCGAGCGTCGGTGGTAATGGTCCGGCATTGAATGCGACTTTGGCATATCTTTGTTGCGTATCTCAACATAATTGCTGCTGCTATTGTCCTGGGCTGGTTTGATACGCAAACTGCCGCACACCACACCGTCCACTTCATCCTGACCCTGATGGGGATGAGGTGAGGCAGCCCGCGGCTGAGGTGATGTCTTTGTCTTGTTCGGTTTATATACTTCCGAATACATGGGCATGGGATAGGCTCTCATCTCGCTGAGCCTAGAAGACGAAACGGATCTGGGTTTCATGTTAATACCAGCAGCGCTATCAACGCTAGACCTCTGCACATCCCTTCCCCTGGGCGCGGGAGTGGGTGTAACCAGATTTTGGCTAGAACCATCCATGCGTTTCCAAAATTCAGTGGCATTGACTTTGGTCGGTGATGTGGGCAGACCACTTTTGGTGGTGCGCAAAATACCCGAAGAAGGAGGCTGTTCTTCGCCCTCATCGCCATAAGGTGCGGTTTTATTGCCCGCTTCTAGCATGTGAATGGGTTTACGGGATCGCGGCGTGGCATCGGCCACATAATGGAAATCCAAACCATTTGGCAATGATTTCTTGCCAGGATGGGCATCACGATCGGCCCGGGTAATGAAGCGGCGATTTTGAGGCTGCATGCCTGATTGATTGCCCTGATTTGCTGAAATATTCAGGGAACGTATCGACTGATACTGTGGCTGATGTTGGGCCCAGATCTTGTCATCCGAGACACAACGACCACTCAGACCTGAGGCTGGCAGCACGGGTACCCCCGTCTGATCGAAGGCATATGAAATTGGTCTCAAATCACTGGAGCTGCCCTCCTGTAAGTGACCACTTCCCACATTCACTCGGCGCAGTGGATCCCTTGGTGGTGGTGGAGGGGGCAATGGCTTAGTTTGCATCCGCCCATTGATATTTTGCAAATGGATATGGCTGTCATAGCTAATGCTACGCTTGGCTTCATTTACCGAATTTTGTAAATTTTTCGAGGGTTGTTGTTGTTGCGCACGCTGTTGCAACTGCTGGGGGTTCCATTGCACATAGGGCGCCATATGCTGTAGGCTGCTGGTATTACGCAGCTTGGAAATGGAGGCATTATCTACGGATGATCGCAGCTGAGGCTCAGGATGTTGGCGAGCCGTTGAGGTTGGTTGATAAATCGATAATGGAACCGGTTGGGTTTTCCACCGCTGCGTGGGTTGCTGGGCAAGCATAACCGGCACCTGGCCATGGCTAACCTCTCCATCGCGTGAGAGTCGCTTGTAGTAACGTTCATTACGCGCAGCCCTGCTCTTACGGCTCATGCCGGAACCATTGTGTCCCTGGCCACCACTGTGAATGCTCTCATCACTGCGATATTTTGAAAAAGTGGAAGAGTTCAGGGATATGAGTTCCTCTTCGCTCGATGAGCCTGGCACTACTTGTGGACTATGTCCCGCAGCCTTCGCGGCCGAACGTTGCTTGGCACGCGATGCTCGACGATCCAGAGAATGAGCCGATTTACTCAGCAGCTGTTGTTGCGTTTGTGGTGCATGCGACAGGTACTGTTGAGAGTGATGCAAACGCTGGGTTTGATTTTGATAGAATGGCTCCTGAGAGCCCATGGGCGACACCGTTTCCACGGGCAGAAAGAATTCATTGTCTATGTGTCCAATTACCGGAGAGGTAACAGTCGATGATGAGTTGCCTGATATGGGGCTGACAACAATGTGATCGAATCCTCCCGCTCGACTATTACGATTTGCTGCCGTACTATTGGCTGCTGCCTTGGACTTGGATTTTTTATTTGGCGTTGAGGTGGCAGCTGAACTTGAACGCGGATATTTATGGGCTGGCGAAAACCCAGCTTTGCGATCATCTTCCGATGATGACTCGGATTCAATTTCTTTTTTATTTCGACGAAAGAATCGACCGAAGGACCATTTTTTCGAATTGCTGTTGTTGTTGTGACTGGCATTCGACAGCTGTGAGCCATTTAACGAAGGATCCTTTTTACTGCTCATGTGAAAACGATCCATGTCGCTTTCAATGATTTGTATTTCGTCAAGATCGTTGACGTCGTATTGTTGTTGCTGGTGTGGATAGAAATTGTTTTGTTTTTGTTGGTGTTGTTGTTGTTGCAATTGTAGTTGTTGGTATGGATGCGACGGTTCCTGTGGATGTTGCTGTAGTTCACTGATGTTTTCATTTGAAAGTTGTAGTTCTTTTGGCAGAGGCAGTTGTGGTCGCCAGGATGATTGGACAGTCTGCAAGGAGGATAGAGAGAAAGAGAGGGAGAGAAAAAACAATTAGTAATGAGAAATTATGTTGAAGGGGTAATATAAAAAATAAGTAAATAAATTATGTAATGTTTCTCGTATCGGAAAGAGTGCCATTCGGAGCTGCCACTTTTTTGCTGAAGATAGAGGGTGTCATTCTATTACAAGTCCAGGGACGTATAGGACCCACAAAACGGAAGCTATCGATTTAAAATTTTTCCAAAGTATCGATATGTTTTCCAACTAAATTAGGTGTAATTTGTGACGGGGGCCGAAATGGTACATTATTAGATATCCTTAGGACATTTTTCTTGAAAATCCAATTTTTGCCTGTTGGAAAATCAGGGAGCCTTACCGAAATGTAGACCGATATGGCCTATTTTCAATGCTAACCATTCTGGAAAAAAACGAATTTCGAAGTTCGTAGTTTTTGAGACGTTTTGGGAGTGGAGGCAACTTTTGATTTTAGTAGTTTCTGGACTTCCTTCATCTCGTGTTGGGAATCACGAGTTTGGGAAATTAAAGAATACAAACTATTAATATCCGGAGTCGAGTTTGTTTTCTACTCCGACTCCAGCTTCAACAGACTTCGACTCCGATTCTGAGGCTATGGTCTCCATATAAGACTTTAGGGGAGGTACCAGAAGAAATGGTCCGATCTCTACCAGATCTTCTGTTGATGGAAATATTGAGATCTACAAAATCTGAATAAAATCGGGAATTAATTACGCGTTTTGTGAGCTTCGTAATATTCAAAATTTTGACCCATTGTGGGGGAAGTACCAGTAGGATATATTCTGTCTTCGCACCAGACCTTGGGTTAACAAAAATATTGTAATGTGTAAGAGAACCGGATGCTTATTTAGGATTTTATGATAGTTTTGTTTATTCAAAAACCTTGACCCTTTTATGCGGAAGGTACCAGAAGGAATGGTCGGATCTCTACAATTTTTATAAAAGATCTTGTGTTTATGGAAATATTGAGATGTGCCAAGTCTGAATGAAATCGGAAATTAATTTCGCGTTTTGTGAGCTTCATGAATATTCAAAATTTTGACCCTCTGTGGGGGAGGAGCCAGAAGGAGTGGACCGATATATTCCATCTTCACACCAGATCTTTGATTAATAAAAATATTGTGATGTGTGCAATTTGAAGATAATCGGACACTTCCGTCACATTTTATAAAAGTTGAAATTATTCAAAATTTTGATCCTTTGTGGGGGAATGGACCGATATTGTCCATATTCGCACCTGATCTAGCACTGATGTAAATATTAGGATTTGCAAAGTTGGAGCAAAATCGGATTATCCTTTTCTCTTTCTGTGCAATAAATTATTAGTAAAATGTTGAAATTTTGTGGGAGTGGTACCAGAAGGAGTGGACCGATATTGCCCATCTCTGAACTCGATGCAAGTTTGACAATAATATTACGATATACCAAGTTTAGACCAAACCAGATACTCCCTTCGAGAGTTATTCTGCGCACCAGCCAGCCAGACAGACGGACGGACAGACATCTCTAGATCGACTCCAAATGTCGTGAAACGGATTTGGTCCGAAGAGACCTAGGGTATAAAGCCATTTTTTCGATGAGGCACGTTTTGCCGGTTCAAATGATACATATCGTTGAGGGTATAACTAGCCATGTAATACCCCATTAGCCATGTGATACTGTATTAGAAAACCCTCTTAGGTCTAAATCCATTGCGGCCGATTTTGAATTTGAACTACTGCCAAACACTACTGCAAAATAATACCTTTGGTTTTTCACTAAATTGCCATGGTTCTGTCCTGTCCTAAACTCTCTATTCATGCTAAATTCTGTGTCGATTGGTCCTTCATTGTGACCTGGCCTTCAAAAATAATAGGCTTCCATTCTGGCCCAACCCCATGATGTAATGGAAATGTTGGTATTTTTAAATACAAAAGTTATGATCGATTTCGCCCTCTAAATATTATCAGCTAACCATCAAATTGGTTGGCTTCTGCCCTGAGGTATTACATGGCTAGTTACTCTTAATTTTGTGTTCTAGGATATAAAAATAAATGAAAATTGGCATCATCTTCAATGTTGGGAGAGTTCACATGCCATATTGCCTTAATGCAATATTGCCTCAAATATCACTCACCACATTTTTTGAAAACAATTGCCTACATTTAAAGCTTTCCTATGGTAAAGGGCCTAAAGTATTCGGTTCGGCCGATTCATTACTGTTTCTGCCTTTCCTCCACTTTTTTTTCGGACATACCATTTTTCTAGGATATAAGTAATGGGGCATGAGATCTTTCAAATATGGGCACCTCAGCTTAATTTTATCTGGTCTGACTAGCGATAACTATTCATCAAAATCCCTAAGAGCTCGACTTAGCACCTCTGGAACATATCTCCCACAATATATATCTACAATAAAATAATTAACAACATATCAACACCTAGCCTACAACAGTCGTGCATTATCGCATTATCATTATTGTTGTTGTTTTTTATCTCTATGTAATAAATTAAAAAAAAAAAAATATCTTGACGCATTATGACCCGCTCGCTTACGCACTTCTTAAGTGGCCAGATAGCAAGGAACGCTTTCCGAGCTAGCATGTTTATCATTATTATTTAATTAGTTTTGACTTAATTAATTTTAAATGTCAAAACAACATAAACAAACAATTCGGTGAGAGAACCATTTTTAATGGAACGAGAAATGGTTTGTTTTGAAAGCACAGAGAGCGAGAGAGAAGAGAATTCCGTTGAAATTCTCAAGAAAATCAATTAAAGAATTTATTATCGCAAAAATACCTCGATTATCTTTGGTTATCAGTAATGAAAATAAAATAGAAAATAGAAATAATTTGCAAAGTAACTGCAAATACGAAGACAATCACTTGAAAAATAGTTTTGGAAAGTAAATTATCCATACTTCAAGCTTTTTTTTTAATCCATCTAAGAATATTTATTATTAAAAACTAGAAGACCAAAAAAAAAAAAGTAAATAAATGATTAAAATAAATTTTTATTCAGTGTTCCTTTCAATATGTGGACACAAATTTGAATTTTAAAACCAGTGAAGAAAGTCTAAAAATCTGGGGAGACGGACTTTATGACTACATCCTTTTGAATAAAGAGTAGATACCAACTATGATTATACTTATAATTTTAAGTCTTCTGAAACGATTTCTACTAAATTTGACGAGGTATTTGTGCCTTTTCAATTCGGGCTTGTATTACCCATTTGGTGCATAAAAACTCCATCTAAGAACATTTTTATTAAAAACTTGAAGACAAAAAAAAAAAATACATTTTTGAAATACATTTTTATTCAGTGTTTGGACACAAATTTGAATTTTAAAACCAGTAAAGAAAGTCTAAAAGTCTACATACCTTTGCATATGTAGTAGAGCTTCACATTTAAATTATACCAACTATAATTGTAGTTCGGGCAAATCTGAACAGATCTTGATAAAATTTGGCAAAGGTATTTCTGAGCTGTTTTTGATATATTTCCCCAAATATCGTTGTTACAGAGTACATATTGCGGCTGCGGAGTACAAAAATAACAAATCGGATGAACAATATATGTGAGCTGTATCTCGCTTCATTTCCAGCGCACAATGGCCACCAAAATCTCCAGATACCAATTCGTTGGACTATTGTGTCTGGAGTATTTTGGAAAGCAAGGTTGGCACTAAAAATACCAAAGTGTCGATCACCGCAAGCAAGCGCTTCGTCGGGAATAGGCCAAAATACTTCAGAGCAACATTCGGGCAGCGTGTGATGGTTTCATTCGCCGTTTGAAGGCCATAATTCGTGCCAAAGGTGACCAATTCGAACAAATCTAAACCTTTTCTAGAATTTGATGCAATTTCGGACATTTTTTGCTTTCATTCAATAAAAAATAAAAAAAAAATGTAAAAATTATGCCGTTTGACTTTTATGCAGTTTTTTATCTCGCCCTGTATGGGAGCTATATCCAAATCTAAACCGATATCGATAACATTTGGCAAAGGTATTTCGGAGCTGGACCTGTCAATTGGAGGCCAATGTGCGATTTGACACATCTCGATTATTTCCTGTGGGGCTACGTGAAGTCACTGGTTTATGCTGATAAAACAGCAACAATTGACACCTTAGAGGCCAGCATTGTTCGTGTTATTCGTGACATACGGCCAACAGTGCTCGAAAAAGTTGCCAAAAATTGGACGTCTAGAATGAACTACGTCAAGAACAGCCGCGGTGCCCATATGTCCGAAATCATTTTCAAATGTTAAATTTTGATTAAAACTTAATTTTGTGTGTTATCTTTTACCATTTCAAGTTCTAGCGGGCTTAAAAACACCCTGTATTTGCCCAAATATTGTTGTTGCAGAGTGTATATTACGGCTGCGGAGGACAAAAATAACAAATCGGATGAAAAGTATATCTGGGAGCTATAGCTATTAGGATTTTTTTTTTGTAGGTGATTTGAGGGGATTTCTGTAGAGTTTTGTAAGTTCTTTTACATTCGGAATAAATTATAATTTTTAATACTGAAGGAGTATCTGTGTTTTATGTGAATATACCACCCCAAAATTCTATTAGGTACCCATTCCTACTTTCGAATTTTACATTATTTTTTAAATTAATTCAAAGAACTCTCTCTCGGGACACTAATTTCTCTCGCTCTGCATGTTTAATGTTTACAATAACGAAGAAACAATTGAAAGCATTGCTCGCCTTGCCTTGGACCCCATGGAAATACGAAACAGAAAAATCAAACAAACTTTGCTTTTCAAGTTCACTCACCACACTCTAACTATTCAACGCTTCTAGTTTTTTATGTAAACAATACCGATTTTATTCTAAAGCAAAAATAAAAAAAAGAAAAATAAAGAGTAAAAACACATAAGAATAGAGATTTCTTTGTATGATTAACATGAGACATGGGCAGCTGGGGCTGGGTATTGAGATGTTGAACTTTTTTTTCGTCTTTTTTGTTTATCAATGTGAATTAC